CCCCCAATACCGCCCCAAGACGGCCCAAGAGGCTCCCAAGAGGCCCTCAAAACTGCCCAAGAGGGCCCCAAAACGGCCCAAGAGGCGCTCAAGACGGCCCAAGAGGGCACGGCCCCAAGAGGGGGACCACGAACCGAAAAGTCTAGCTTTCGCCCCAAGACGCTCAGGAGGCCCCCAGAGCCCCCCAAGAAGCCCCAAGAGGCGTCCCAAGAGGCATCCGGGAGGCGAAAGTCATTGATTTCCCCAGGGGAAAGGTACATTTTTAGCATACAAGGCTTTTCGGCTTTCACTGCGTTGAAGACGCTCCAAGAAGCCCCCAAGACCGCCCCAAGACGGCCCAAGAGGCTCTCAAGAGGCCCCCAAAACGGCCCAAGAGGGCGCCAAGACGGCCCACGAGGCGCCCAAGACGGCCCAAGAGGGCCCCAAGACGGCCCCAAGAGGGGCACCACGAACCGAAACGTCTAGCCTTTCGCCCCAAGAAGCTCCCGGGAGGCCCCCAGAGCCCCCCAAGAAGCCCCAAGAGGCGCCCAAGAGGCGCCCCAAGAGGCCAGCAGGAGGCGAAAATCATTCATTTCCTATGGGAAAAGGTACATGTTTAGCATACAAGGCTTTTCGGCTTTCACTGCGTTGAAGACGCTCCAAGAAGCCCGCAAGACCGCCCCAAGACGGCCCAAGAGGTTCCCAAGAGGCCCCCAAGAGGCCTCCAAAACGGCCCAAGAGGGCCTCAAGACGGCCCAAGAGGCGCCTCAGACGGCGCAAAACTGTCTACAGAAACCTTTGGTCGTTTACACTGGTCCACCCCTCTACAGAGGAATGCCACCTCTAAAGGCTTTTGCCCGCGTCTAAAGTGTCAAGTGGCCCTGTCTAAAGGGGTTTGCCCGGGGATTATTGCATCACTCTACGAGCACTCCCGACAGGATTCTGACAGAACTCTGACAGGACTCTGACAGCATTCTGAGAGGATTCTGAGAGGATTCTGAAAGCACTCTGAGAGGATTATGAGAAGATTCTGACAACATTCTGAGAGGACTCTGAAAGCATTATGAGAGGATTATGACAGCGCGCCTGCCTGAGAGAGCGCGGAATCGAGCTCAGATTGCAATTCTGGGCGCGTCCGCTTGGAAAGCACGAAAACAGGTTCAGATTGCAATTCTGAGCGCGCTCGCTCGGGACAGTGCAAAAATGAGTTCAGGTTGGAATTCTGGGCGCGCCTGCCTGGGAGAGCGCGAAACCGAGTACATTGCATTTCTGGGCGCGCCTGCCTGGGAGATCGCGAAATCGAGCTCAGATTGCAATTCTGGGCGCGGCTGCTTGGGAAGCACGAAATCAGAATCAGGCTGCAATTCTGAGCGCGCTCGCTCGGGAGAGCGCGAAAACTGGTGCTGATTGGTATTCTGGGCGCGCCTGTGCGGTTTGTTCCCTACACACTGTGGAGGTGTCCACCAGAGTACTTTAGACGGGGCCAACAATTTTCAAAGTGTGTACTTCTCTGTAGGAGAGGTGGCCAGGTCTAAACGACCACTTTCTTCTGTAAACTGGATCCGCCCCCCAAGACGGCCCAAGGGGGCCCCAAGACGGCCCCAAGAGGGGCACCACGAACCGAAACGTCTAGCCTTTCGCCCGAAGAAGCTCCCAGGAGGCCCCCAGAGCCCCCCAAGAAGCCCCAAGAGGCCCCCAAGAGGCGCCCAAGGGGCGTCCCAAGAGGGCCGCAAGAGGCCAAAATCATATATTGTCGTAGGGAAAACGTATATTTTTAGCATATGCGTTTTGTCTGCTTTCGCGGCGTTGACGACGGCCCGGGAGGCTCCCAATACCGCCCCAAGACGGCCCAAGAGGCCCCCAAAACGGCCCAAGAGGGCCCCAAGACGGCCCAAGAGGCGCTCAAGACGGCCCAAGAGGGCACGGCCCCAAGAGGGGGACCACGAACCGAAAAGTCTAGCCTTTCGCCCCAAGACGCTCCCAGGAGGCCCCCAGAGCCCCCCAAGAAGCCCCAAGAGGCGTCCCAAGAGGCCACCGGGCGGCGAAAGTCATTGATTTCCCCAGGGGAAAGGTACATTTTTAGCATGCAAGGTTTTTCGGCTTTCACTGCGTTGAAGACGCTCCAAGAAGCCCCCAAGACCGCCCCAAAACGGCCCAGGAGGCTCTCAAGAGGCCCCCAAAACGGCCCAAGAGGGCGCCAAGACGGCCTAAGAGGTGCCCAAGTCGGCCCAAGAGGGCCCCAAGACGGCCCTAAGAGGGGGACCACGAACCGAAACGTCTAGCCTTTCGCCCCAAGCAGCTCCCAGAAGGCCCCCAGAGCCCCCCAAGCAGCCCCAAGAGGCCCCCAAGAGGTTCCCAAGAGGCTTCCAAGAGGGCCCGACAAGGGCCCCAATAGGACTCGCACGAAGGCCCAGAGACGCCAAATAGAGAGCGATCGGTAACGCAAAAAGCTCTTCACACCAAGGCTCCCAAGAGCGAGCGGTGACGTAAACAAGCTGATAAGACCAAGGCTCTCAGTAGAGAGCGGTGACGTAACAAGTTCCTGACACCAAGGCCCAGCCAAGGCTCAGGAACGGGCGGCAACGCAACAATCTCTGAACACCAAGGCTCCCAAGAGCGAGGGGCGACGTTCCAAACTCTCAACGCCAAGGCTCCCAGTACGGACGGTGGTGTGAGTAATTTCGGTTTCTGTTTCTGAAGCGCTCTTTCCGTTTCTGTGCCGGGCCAGGTCACGGAAAGAGCGAGGTACGAGTGATGACGTTCTGGTGTGGGCGAAGTCCTGAATGGAGGGGTTCCAGGGGAGGGGGGTAGCGTGCCCATATGGGCTCTAATGGCCGTATTCTGGTTTTCCACTGGGTTTTTGCATGTTTTTCGGGTTCCCCCCCAAGACGGCCCAAGAGCGCTCCAAGAGAGCCCAAGACCGCCCAAGACGGCCCAAGAGGCCCCCAAGCGGCCCCCAAGAGGCGCCCAAAGGGCGTCCCAAGAGGGCCCCAGGATGCCAGAATCATCAATTTCCTAAAGGGAATCGTATATTTTTAGCATGTGTGCTTTGTCGGCTTTCGCGGCGTTGACGACGGCCCGGGAGGCCCCCAAGACCGTCCAAGACGGCCCAAGAGGTTCCCAAGAGGCCCCCAAGACGGCCCAAGAGGGCCCCAAGACGGCCCAAGAGGCGCTCAAGACGGCCCAAGAGGGCGCCAAGACGGCCCCGAGTGGGGGACAAGTCCAGCCTTTCGCCCCAAGACGCTCTCAGGAGGCCCTAGACCCCCCAAGAAGCCCCAAGAGGCCCCCAAGAGGCCACCAGGAGGCGAAAATCATTAATTTCCTATTGGAAAAAAGGTACATGTTTAGCATACAAGGCCTTTCGGCTTTCACGGCGTTGAAGACGCTCCAAGAGGCCCCCAAGACCGCCCCAAGACGGCCCAACGGGTTCCCAAGAGGCCCCCAAGAGGCCCCCAAAACGGCCCAAGAGGGCCCCAAGACGGCCCAAGAGGCGCCCAAGACGGCCCAAGGGGCCCCAAGACGGCCCCAAGAGGGGGACCACGAACCGAAACGTCTAGCCTTTCGCCCCAAGAAGCTCCCAGGAGGCCCCCAGAGCCCCCCAAGCAGCCCCAAGAGGCCCCCAAGAGGCCCCCAAAAGGGCTCCAAAAGGGCCCCAATAGGACTCGCACGAAGGCCCAGAGACGCCAAATAGAGAGCGATCGGTAACGCAAAAAACTCTTCACACCAAGGCTCCCAAAAGCGAACGGTGACGTAAACAAGCTGATAAGACCAAGGTTCCCAGCAGAGAGCGGTGACGTAACAAGTTCCTGACACCAAGGCCCAGCCAAGGCTCAGGAACGGGCGGCAACGCAACAATCTCTGAACACCAAGACTCCCAGGAGCGAGGGGTGACGGAACAAGCTCTCAACGCCAAGGCTCCCAGTACGAACGGTGGTGTGAGTAATTTCGGTCAAGTTGTTGAAGCGCTCTTTCCGTTTCCGTGCCGGCCCAGGTCTAACAGCCCCTGCAGGTCCCACAGGTTTCGCAGGTCTCTCAGTGGTCACACAAGTCCCACGCGTCCCACAGCTCCCACAAGGCCCACAGGTCTCGCAGATATCGCAGGTCGCGCAGGTCTAACAGTTCCACATGCCCCACAGGTCCCACAGGCCTCGCAGGTCTCTCTGGTTTCGCAGGTCCCATTGGTCCCACAGTTCCCGCAGTTCCCACAGGTCCCACGGGTCCCGTAAGCCCCCCAAGTTCCACAGCTGTCGCAAGCCACATATCTCACAGGTCCCGTAGGTCCAACAAGTCTTGCAAGCGCCGCAGGCCTCGCAAGTCTGGCAGGTCTCGTAAGCCCCCCAAGCCCAACACGGCAGGTCCCACAGGTTCCACATGTCCCACCGCTCCCACAACGCTCACAGGTCCCACAGGCCCCGCAGGTCTTGCAGGTCTCGTTGATCCTGCAGCCCCTTCAGGTCTCACAGCGCCCACAGGTCCCACAGGTCCCACAGTTCCAAGAAGTCTCGCAGGCCCCGCAATTCTCACAGTTCCATCTGATCTTACAGAACACGCATGTCCTACACGTCCCCCAGGTCCCACAGTTCCCACAGGTCCCACAGGTCTCACAGGTCCCACAGTCACGGGTCCCACACGTCCGATGGGCCCCACCGGTCCCACAGGTCCCACATGCCCCACAGGCCCCACAAGTCTCACAGGTTTCTCACAGGTCCAATAGGCCCCACAGGTCCCGCATTTCCCACATATACCACAAATCCCACAGGTCTCGCAGGTCCCTTTGGTCCCGCAGGTCCCACAAGTCCAGGTCCCACAGGTCCCACAGCTCCAACGGGGCTTGTTGGTCCCGGAGGTCCGACGAGTCCCAGAGGTCTGACAGGCCCCGGAGGGCTCGCGGGTCTCGTAAGTCCCGCGGGTCCCACAGGTCCCGCAGGTCCCGCAGGTCTCGCAGGTTTCGCAGGCTGCACAGCTCCAGATGGTCTAGCAGGCCTCGATGGCCCCACATGTCCTGCAGGTCCCACGGGTCTCTCATGTCACCTTTGCTGCTATCTGTCGCCATTTTGGCTCAAGGCCTTTGGAGTTGAGACTCTGCTTCGCTGTGTGGCGTGCCCAGCAGCCTCCAGGGCAGGATGGGAAGCTGCGTCGAAGCCTTCATTCCGCACCGCGATCGTGTGAACGATGTGGGCAATGAGCACGTTGTCGAGAACGACCCCTTGATCACAGCTAAAGACAGCGAGACGCTAGCTCATATAGGATACCGTTCAGACGTGGATGGACTGCGAGCCGTCGCTGTGCTGAGCGTCATCGCCTACCACATGAACGCAGGATGGCTGCCAGGAGGCTATTCTGGAGTCGACATTTTTTTGTGTGATTTCTGGATATGTTGTGACCGCGTCTCTGCTCAGTCACTCGTGCGGCAGCCGTTCGGAGTTCTTCTGTGGGTTCTACGCCCGCAGGGTCAAAAGGCTGACCCCAGCGCTGCTAATTTCCATGGCGTCCTGTGGACTCTACATCGCTATCATGGTACCGCCTATGACTCCTCACCTGGAAGACAACTTCGCAGCCGCCGCCAGTGCACTTTGCGGCGCTTCCAATGTGTTCTTTGCGTGGCTCTCCCAGCAGACTGGCGACGGCTACTGGGACGAGATGACGGGGCAGAGCAGGAACGCCGCCAATCCATTCGTGCACACTTGGTCTATTGGGGTAGAGGAGCACTTCTACCTGTTGTTTCCTCTTCTCGTCTTGCTCGCGCACGGCCGCCGAGTTGTTGCCTCGGCTGGCTGCCGTCCGCCATGGCCGGCCTCCCTTATCATCTTTGGAGCGTTCGCTGCTCTTTCTGGGTGTGCATCGCGGGTGATGACCGTGCACGCGCCAGACATGGCCTTTTATTTGCTGCCCGCGCGTTTTTGGGAACTGGCGGTCGGTGCCATCCTTGCCGACGCCCACGCTGCTGGGAGGCTGGACATGACAGCGGACGGGAGAAGCGCAGCAGTGGTGGGGGCTCAGGACCTGGTGGCCACACTGCTAATAGCCTCGAGCCTAGTTCTTGACACGGTCAGCGTGGGCTTCCCCTTTCCCGGCGCGCTGCTTCCCGTTGCGGGCGCCGCCTGCGTCATCGTGGCAGGGCGGTCCGAGTCGAGCGCCCTGAGACGCGTCCTGGGGCAGGAGCTGCCAGTGTACATCGGCAAGCTGTCCTATCCTCTCTACCTGTGGCACTGGCCTGTGCTCAAGCTCGCTGATGGGACTGTGGTGGAAGATCTGCCCGTCGCCTGGAGGTACTTCCTGCTGCTCTCAGTCATGCTCGCGCTGGCCTCCGCGACGTACCACGTTGTGGAGGGGCCTTTCCGGTCCTGGCGGCCCCGGGCCCACTGGCACGCGTTCGCCGTGCTGCTGCCCGCCGCTGTCGTCTTGGCGGGTTGCATGCTCGCACTTCGCGGCCCGCTGTTCGGCAAGCTGAGCGTGTCGGCAGGAAACTCATTGATCCCCTCCGCAGCCACGGAGTCGACCTCGAGCAGCCCAGGGGACGACGACCTCGAGCACCCCGCCCCCACGAGCCATGCCCTGGCCTTGACAGGTTGCGCGTGCGGCAGGGTTCCTGAATTCACGCATGCGCCAGCGACTGCTAACGATGGCAGGCATGGCCAGCCATGCTGCTTGGACATGAGCGGTGGCACTGAGCTGGACAAGAGCTGCTGGGCCGTCTATTATCGCTGCAGCGGCGGTGAATGGTGCGACGGCGAGTGCGAGCTTCAAAAGAAAAATTGCACGCAGGAAAAGCGCATGGACGAAGCACTGACCGAGCTCTTCGACAGGCAGAAGCGGCAGTGCTTATCGCCAGCGACAGGATCACAGAGGAAGCCCACGCTCTTCTTATTGGGTGACTCGCACGCGCTCTTCTTCAAGCATGCTCTAACGCAGGCAGTGGGCGGCAGATTTGATGTGCGTTCGTGGGCGAGCGTCCACTTCATCGATGGCTTTTGGGAATCCAAACTTGATCCCGTCAGAGGATATCCAAGTAAAAGGTATCATTCCGAGCTTCAGGAGCTGATCGCAGACCATCTGGTGCCTGGCGACATCGTGGCCATCGGCCTATACATAGATGGGCCTCTCGGCTTACACGTTGACATTGTTACGTCCTTCCTGAACGATTGGGTAACAATTGCCGACAATAAGAGTGCCAGAGTCCTCATGCTTGGGGATCATCACTCGTACAGGAAATACTGGCCAGATGTCCCCACGAAGTGCGGTAATAATGGGTTGCCAGCGGATCTGCGCAGTCATTGCTTCCCTAACAGGCAGGACGTGATGAACTCGACGATCACCTTGAGGCTTCGGGAGTTGCAGAGGACTTCCAGTTTGTTGCTCTTTGAGTACAGGAACCTCTTCTGTCATGGGGACATCTGCATGCCATTCATTCCTGGCAGCAACGTCATGGCGTACGAGGATGCCAGTCACCTGACGCCAGCTGGCTCCCGGTACGTGGCGCCCTTCCTCTGCGAGTTCTTGAAGAAGCATGGGCTCCTTCAGAACGGCAGCAGTACACGGTAGACGCGTACCAGACAGGGTGGAAGCAGCTCTAAGAGTGCCGCCACGTGTCTCGCTTGCGTCGCTCCCCGCTCTCCTCTGCCTCGCCCGCCTCCCCCCCCTCTCTCTCACGAGCTGCGCAGCTACCCCTCGCACATCGTTGGGGACAGAGGCCGCGACGACGGTCCCCCGAGGCGCTGTGCGACTCTCCGTCTTTCTCTGCGCGCCGCCACGCGCGTGGTCAGCATGTTTCGCCCAGTTGCCGCTGCGCCGTCAGGGCGCGGCTTCATTCGTTCGTTTGTTCGCGGCGCACGATGGCGGCGACGTGTTCGTTGGCCAAAAGACGCCAGGGGCGCGCCGGCGTCTCCCGCAAGAGCTCCATCAGATCTTTCCCCCGCAGACAGTCGATCAGTCTCTCGGCCGCCAGAGAGGGGGAGAGGCACGACTGTAGACAGGTTGCGTTCCCTATTCCCTCCGAGCCGCCCTTTCCAGATTGGCGGCGAGTGCCGAATAGTACCTGTTTCCTCTCCTGGCTAGTCTTGCGATGTCTCAATCTCTGCCCCCTGTCCAGGGTTCGGGGCAAATGTTAGCGTTACAGCGGAGCACAAAGCAATACATTGAAAGTTAGAAGAACCGTTTTATCAATGCACGGTTTGGTAAAAGAGGCTTGTCTTCTTTTATTCATCAGGACTGTAGATCATGGCGGGTATCCCTCCGCTGCGCTGGTCTTGAGATGGGCGCGATGAGAAGCGGGAGGAGTCTGCCGAGTCACAATGACGAACACACGAAAAAATGCCCCCTTTGCTGCTATCAGGGTGCTTTGCTAGGGTAAGTTTTGAAGTACTTGGCGCACGTAATTGCTTGAGCTGCGCGCAGTGCCGAATGGGCCATGAGCGCAAGTGGGAAACGCTGCCCCACGAATGAGGAATTTCGCCCGTCTCGGATTTGTTAGGTGACCTTTCGGAGGCGGTAGTTTCCATCGTGGTCCGATCGGATTCGTGTTTTTAGAGAGGTCTCCGCCTCCTCCTCACCTTCCGCCTCCTCCCTTGGCTTTCCTTGTATACAGACATCCACAACACTCATGCTCAGACACATTCGTGCTCCAGTCACACTCACACTCAGACTCACTCACACTCGACAGTCTTCCCATGGTCAGACTCACTCACACTTAGATTCACTTACGCGCAGACTTTGTTACGCACAGGCCACTCGCTTTCATATGCACTCATACTCAGACTCAATGGTATCACTCATGTTCAGTGAGATTTAGCTCCACCTGCACTTATACTCACTGACACTCAGACCCATTTGCACTTACACTCACTGGCACTCACGCAGGTGATGACTTCGCGCGGGCTCCCACGAGAGACGAGGGGACAGACGAACAGCGTCAGGCAACGCTACTTCGACGTCCGGAACATGCACGTGCTCGGGGTGCTTGCAACGATTGTTGACGCAACTGGCGTGTCCTTGTCCTGCCTGCCGCAGAGGAATAGGATGCCCAAACACGGCGCGCCATCGAAGTTGGACCTCATTCTCGGCGACGACTCTCTGATCGGGCAGTTTACTGAGTGGACGCTTCACTTGCTGGACTCGTGGAAGGCCGGCGACGCGAGGAGGAGGCTGCGGTCGATGACCCACTGGTTGACCAGCAATTTCCGAGATGGGCTCGGAGCCAGATCTTGTCTTTGAGCTCCAGCACGTCCATAGGGCCAGACGAAAGGAGGGGGGATGCGGAAATGGGGGGTTACGACATCTGCTGCATGCAGCTGGTTTCAGCCCCACCGAGGGGCCCATTCCTCGATGCTCGGCCGCCTCCGGCGCCGGGAGGCGCCGGGAAAGTCAGCTACGTGAGCTGATTCCCCCCCCCCCTTGGCTATCCCCCCTTTCGCCCGGACCGAGTCCAGGAGGGAACCGAGCTCAGGTCAGCACACTGCTCTGCGCCCGCTTCCCCGCGAGCGGTCCAGCGAGGGCGAGGGGCACGCCGCGCGGCCAGGGCCGTCCTCCGTGAGGCAGAGAAGGCGGATGCGTGCACGAGGGGGTTGGCTTCAATCGGGTATAGCCAGGACCCCAGGCAAGGGGACCCGGTCAGTAGCAGGGCCCTGGGGCCCCTAAACTGGCCAGAGTCACTAAACCAGGTCTGCCGTAGCTGGTGTTCTTTCGGGTGACGGCAGTTCCGGGTAGAACGGGCGGGGGGGGCGTTCCCCAGTGCACATCAGTAAACCAGGTCCCACTAAACCCAGTTCTGCCAATGTCCGACGTATGTCGGGCGTGTCCCTCTACAGGAGGACTATTCCAAAATACTTTTTAACAAATTGTCTGAGGACCCTTTTTCGATCTTTTTCAAATTCTTCTGAGCATTTTGTGACTATTTTTAATTTGTCGTCCAAGCTCCGCCTGTAGGAGGACATGCCCGACCTAAGGTTGGCGAAGCTCTACACTTCGGCGGAAGGGAGGATGTCTACCCGGTGCATGGCCACATTGTCGAACGGCTTCAGGGTCGTTTGCTTGCGGCGCCGGCATAATAAATCATAGCCGGAGTGCAGTATCACCAAACAGGGTTTTCAGACCCACTGCGGTTTCCAAGGTCGATTGCGTGCCCGTCCAGTGCGGGCTGGCATGGCATGTTCAAACATGCCTCCTCCTCCTCCTCCTCCTCCTCCTCCTCCACCTCCTCTTCATCCCGAACAGCATCTCGGAGCCCAGAGTAGCGAGGATGTCTCCAGCGTAACTGGCTGGACCACCTCGCGCGCGGCATTTTGGACCCCAGAGTTGCGACGATGTCTCGGGCGAAACGTGCTGCGAGGAAGTCTCAGGCGAAACGGGCCGGACCACCTCGAGCGCGGCGTCTCAGAGTTCCGAGTTGCGTGGGCCTTCTGGGGCCTCGTGGGACCTCCTGGTGACCTCCTGGGGCTTCCTCCTGGGGCCTCCTGTGACCTCCTGGACCCCACCTGGGGTTTCCTGAAGCCTCTTGGGGCTCCCAGGGGGGGATATCTAACATGTGGCCGTCGGGCCCCCCCAAAATGAGGGGGGGGGGGGCACAAGAGCAGGAAAAATCAACGAATCGGCACCGGATGTGTATTATCTTGACACGTTCTGATAGGGGGCCTCCTGGGACCTCCTGGGAGCCTCCTGGGAATATCCTGCTCCCCCCTGGGGCCTGTCCTGGGCGTCCTGCGGCCACCTGAAGCTCTCTGGGGCCTCCTGGGGCTCCAAGGGTCCCAGGGAGGAATATGTAACATGTGGTCTTCTGGGCCCCCGGGCTGGACCACCTCTTGCGCAGCATCTGAGAGCTCAGAGTTGCGAGAATGTCTTGCGCGAAACAGGCCGGACCACCTTGCGCACTGCATCTCAGAGCTCAGAGTTGCGAGGATGTCTCAGGCGAGATGGGCCGGACCACCTCGCGCAGGGCATCTCGGAGCCCAGAGTTGCGAGGATATCTCCAGCGTAACGGGCTGGACCACCTCGCGCGCGGCATTTCGGACCCCAGAGTTGCGACGATGTCTCGGGCGAAACTTGCTGCGTGGAAGTCTCAGGCGAAACGGGCCAGACCACCTCGTGCGCGGCGTCTCAGAGCTCCGAGTTGCGGGGGCCTCCTGGGGCCTCCTGGGGCCTCGTGGGACCTCCTGGTGACATCCTGGGGCTTCCTCCTGGGCCTCCTGTGGTCTCCTGGACCCCACCTGGGGCTTCCTGAAGCCTCTTGGGGCGCCCAGGGGGGGGATATCTAATATGTGGCCGTCGGGGCCCCCCAAAATGAGGGGGGGGGCGCAAGAGCAGGAAAGATCAACGAATCGACACCGGATGTGTATTATTTTGACACGTTCTGATAGGGGGCCTCCTGGGAGCCTCCTGGGAATCTCCTGCTCCCCCCTGGGGCCTGTCCTGGGCGTCCTGCGGCCTCCTGGAGCTCTCTGGGGCCTCCTGGGGCTCCAAGGGTCCCAGGGGGGATATGTAACATGTTGTCTTCTGGGCGCCCAGGCTGGACCACCTCTTGCGCAGCATCTGAGAGCTCAGAGTTGCGAGAGTGTTTTGTGCGAAACGGGCCGGACCACCTTGCGCACGGCATCTCAGAGCTGAGGATGTCTCAGGCGAGATGGGCCGGACCACCTCGCGCAGGGCATCTCGGAGCCCAGAGTTGCGAGGATGTCTCAGGCGAAACGGGCTGGACCACCTCCCGCGCGGCATCTCGGACCCCAGAGTTGCGACGATGTCTCGGGCGAAACGTGCTGCGAGGAAGTCTCAGGCGAAACGGGCCAGACCACCTCGAGCGCGGCGTCTCAGAGTTCCGAGTTGCGTGGGCCTTCTGGGGCCTCGTGGGACCTCCTGGTGACCTCCTGGGGCTTCCTCCTGGGCCTCCTGTGGCCTCCTGGACCCCACCTGGGGCTTTCTGAAGCCTCTTGGGGCTCCCAGGGGGGTATCTAACATGTGGCCGTCGGGCCCCTCCCACATGAGGGGGGGCCACAAGAGCAGGAAAAATCAACGAATCGACACCAGATGTGTATTAACTTGACACGTTCTGATAGGGGGCCTCCTGGGAGCCTCCTGAGAATCTCCTGCTCCCCTCTGGGGCCTGTCCTGCGGGTCCTGCGGCTTCCTGAAGCTCTCTGGGGCCTCCTGGGGCTCCCAGGGTCCCAGGGAGGATATGCAACATGTGGTCTTCTGGGCCCCCAGGCTGGACCACCTCTTGCGCGGCATCTGGGAGCTCAGAGTTGCGAGAATGTCTTGCGCGAAACAAGCCGCGAAACCGTGCGCACGGCATCTCAGAGCTCAGAGTTGCAAGGATGTCTCAGGCGAGACGGGCCGGTGTCTCGGGCGAAACGTGCTGCGAGGAAGTCTCAGGCGAAACGGGCCAGACCACCTCGAGCGCGGCGTCTCAGAGCTCCGAGTTGCGGGGGCCTCCTGGGGCCTCGTGGGACCTCCTGGTGACATCCTGGGGCTTCCTCCTGGGCCTCCTGTGGTCTCCTGGACCCCACCTGGGGCTTCCTGAAGCCTCTTGGGGCGCCCAAGGATATCTAACCTGTGGCCGCTTGGGCCCCTCAAAATGGAGGGGGGGGCACAAGAGCAGGAAAAATCAACGAATCGACACCGGATGTGTATTATTTTGACGCGTTCTGATAGGGGGCCTCCTGGGGCCTCCTGGGAGCCTCCTGGGAATCTCCTGCTCCCCCCTGGGGCCTGTCCTGGGCGTCCTGCGGCCTCCTGGAGCTCTCTGGGGCCTCCTGGGGCTCCCAGGGTCCCAGGGAGGATATGTAACATGTGGTCTTCTGGGCCCCACCTCTTGCGCGGCATCTGGGAGCTCAGAGTTGCGAGAATGTCTTGTGCGAAACAGGCCGGACCACCTTGCGCACGGCATCTCAGGGCTCAGAGTTGCGAGAATGTCTTGTGCGAAACGGGCTGGACCACCTCGCGCAGGGCATCTCAGAGCTCAGAAATTCGAGGATGTCTCAGGCGGGCTCCCAGGGTCCCAGGGAGGATATGTAACATGTGGTCTTCTGGGCCCCCAGGCTGGACCACCTCTTGCGCGGCATCTGGGAGCTCAGAGTTGCGAGAATGTATTGCGCGAAACAAGCCGGGCCACCTTGCGCACGGCATCTCAGAGCTCAGAGTTGCGAGGATGTCTCAGGCGAGACGGGCCGGACCACCTCGCGCAGGGCATTTCAGAGCTCAGAAGTTCGAGGATGTCTCAGGCGAAACGGGCTGGACCACCTCCCGCGCGGCATCTCCGAGGTTAGAGTTTCGAGGATGTCTCAGGCGAAACGGGCCAGACCACCTCGCGCAAGGCATCTCAGAGCTCAGAATTCTGAGGATGTCTCAGGCGAAACGGCCCGGACCACCTCTCGCGCGGCGTCCAGGAGCGCAAGTTTTCGAGGACGTCTCAGGCGAAACGGCCAATCCCCGCCAACTCAGAAACGAGAGTTGTGAGGATGTCTCAAGCGAAACGGCCCGGACCATCAAATTTTTGTGAGGATGTCTCTGCTCCGATTTCCCTCGGCCGGAGTTAGCTTCTATCACAACAGCACCGCGTTCAGCAAGCTGTTTGGGGAAAAATCTGCTTTCGGCGTGGCAGAATA